CACACGGTGGAAATCGGAACAACCGTGCAAAGAAAGATGGAATTGTTTAACATACATTATTTAGTCGTACTGTCAGTAAGAAGAGGAGATACCAGGTTCATAAAAAGACTGAGGTTGTACTTCGCTGAATGAAAATCATCCTACGGAACAGACGGTCGTACAGCATACAGAGCAACTCGAAAGGGCCAGCTCTTCCATCAAAGTCAACCTTCTATCCCGCAAACCAACTCACATGTCCTAGATCCGGTCGAATGGAATAGGCACGAAGGAAACTGGCAAGTATGACTGAAAACCGATTTGTCAAATCACCCTACTTACAGTAGGGTCTACAAGGGTCTTGATGGTCCTGATGACTTTCGTAGAAGACATGGAATACCGGGGGCGAGATGGCCCAAGTGGTTGGAGCGCGAATTTACTGACCGGAAGGTCCATGGTTTGAACCCGACCTGTGCCTCCCGACTTCCCCTGTCTAGGCTTGGGCAACCTGGCAGTATCCCAGCCCTCGTGCTTCCTTCGGGTGGCATGGCAGCTAGGCACCGAAAATGTGCTACAGCTGAACGGTATACCGTGTAAATCATATGGTTCATTTACAGCAGAGTTCTAAGTTGAAATCAATTCAAATTTACGGACGCCCTGAGTTGTCCAACTCTTTTGTGTTTTTATCAAATACACCTCACCTTCGGTGGGTTCGGATACACCTAAAAACGGCGAACCAAAGTGTTCGAATTGATGACATTCACAGCTCGTTTAATTGTGAAATTTTTCATACGAAAAGTGGGAGTACAAGCAAAACTCAATAGGTTGATGGTGGGTTTAAGTTAAATTGATGCGAAAAAGGCCTGGATGAATAGTTTGTCCAAACAGACTATTGCACAGTTCAACGGATTTTATTCACATAAATTCACAAAGCACCGGTAACTTCTCACCGTCACTGTGTTCGACTTCATGAGAAACACGGTCATTCGGATTACCGAAAGCATTACTGAGCATGTTATCTTCATAGGCGTAGGCGAATAGTGAACATTCACTTGTAGTACTGATAATCGAGATACAAACTTCAATCATTGGACAGCCAGAATTTGTAAAGCAAAAAGCTCGAAGAAAGAAAGACTACACACCAAAGGTATCCGACAGAACCGCACACATTTATGAAGAAGAAAAACGCTGAACAGAGAGCTGACGCGCCGATAGAGAATACTAAGTTATGAATTAGGGGTAATGAATCTCGTCAGCTTAGGACGATACCATAAAGTTTCAATAAAGCCGAACGAAATGACAAGAGGTATCGCTATCAAGGGGTCTGAGCTTTGCGTCAGTAGTATTCGTATTGAAAAAAAGATACTAGCAAGCACGTCCTAATCATTTGGAAAGGACCAAATTGAAAGCAAGAAGGAAGTGCTCAATGTTCCTGTTTTCATACAATGTAAAAAGATTTATGAATAACAGAGTAGATAGCTGGCTCAGATGGGATAACAGAACGAAGTATCTGTGTTCGATCACTAACTACCATTTAAGGTATCGCGAGGAACTTACACATCGATTTGCGTGCTACAGAATAAGTCAGTGTGGAGAATCGAAATAACGTCTCAATTCCGTCAAAACATCGATCCGAATGAGTACGTGAGAACCGAGTTGGAATGTACCAAGAAAATTGAGGCGGAATGTACCCAAAGATGTGACAGTGGTCATTGTATGGAAAAATACGAACTTATGAGAATTCGCAGCATCACATTAGAAAAACTGCAAGTGTCAAACGAATGGTCCGAAGACACCTTTATTCAATACTGTCATGGTAAAGAAAACTGTATACATTCTGTATTTTGTCCTGGAGGTTCGTACTTAGTGCAATCCATTAGAGAACACAGTCTCACCTTCAAGAATTTCGACTAAATCGGAAAATTTCAAAGTTGAACAATGTAAGTGTTAGTAAGCTCTCGACCAAGTTTAAGCGACAATTAAATCAACGCTGGCATACGGCTCCCATGGATGGTACAGCAAACGCAATTCTATGGGGCGCGTTTGACTGATAACATGCGTCTACCATTCGATTCCGAATGCTGCGAAAACCGTTCATGCTTTCATAAGCTCAATTCCGGAAATCCCAACCGAGAAATATTATGTTCGTTCACAGCCAGCCTACGTTAATAGATATCAATTCTCATAAAGGAAGCTACTCACAAGGTTGCTTAAAAACACTTCGACAGCCCACGACCGGTTTCGCCCGTCTTGGGGCTCATCAGGTAGGATATCGATTCGCATTAGATTTGGAATGCTCCTCAACGAGCCAGTAGGAAAGAGTCCAAAATAGGAATTTAAAAATCCTTCGTAACAAATTACGGTGTGAGAAACTCGCATGACACATCTTTCCTTCTTTCCATTTTGTCAAGTAAAAAATAGCAGGCTTGTAATCTAATGGATGGGGTAACAACACTGCGCGAAAAACTTAAGATATTTAGATAAGGAAAACTACTCACAAGGCTGCTGAAAACTCTTTGACCTTGTTCGTAGTTTCCATTTTGAAAATATACTACAATGTCTCGAATACCGTGAGAACCAGAAAATGAGGTAGCCTTTGTGCAGCATATAACTGGGGAATATCATCGACGAGAGATTCAGTTGTCTCTCGTGAAAACCAAATTGATTTGCAAAGGAGTGTATTTGTCGATGAAGAAATTTAGCTTTGTGTGATTGAGTCAATCGGATTTAGAAGCACGTGTCGAGCGGCGGCTGCCGTGAATTGCGTTAACACTGTACAGGGTACTGATGTAGTGCCCAACATCTTGGTTGATTTATAAGGAAGTATTGGTGTTGTACGCCCTTGCTTATCGAGCTTCGGCTCATGAGGCTTCTTTCGGTTTTCCATACCACCTACCTACCGGTCTCTCATCTTGTGTATATGAGCCCTGGAGCTAACATGCCCAATCACACACAGCCGACGGCCGTCCATATACAGCTGCACATACACACTCACCAGCCTCACGCACCACACCAATAGCACCAGCCAGTTCACGTAAGTCACGGTACACCAGGAGCGGTATTCTTCAGAAAGGGAGCCAGCGAAGCATACAGTGATTACCATTTTCGTGGATTGACGTGAGTGTTGGTGATGTAGAAACTTGCTTCCTGGGCTTTGGCTCGTGAGGTTTTTTTTCGGTATTCTAGTCGCAGAAATTGTCGTTGATCTCTATTTTCGAAGAAGCACTGCCCCACGGTGCTTCAATGGGGTGCAATGTAAAGCTGTTCTATCGGGACTAGAAATCAGAAGCACTTAAAATTCTAAAATGGAATTCGAACCAGTATATAAGCTTCAAGTTAGGAGTAGCTACTGTTGCCGCTCCAATCACTTTCGTCAATCGGAAGAATAAAATAACAGATAAGCATCCAGTAGACCATCAGCCATGGCAACAACGAATTCAGAAAAATGAATATCACAGGCTGTTCTAGCAAATGGGTAAGTTGGACGTTAGTTCCAGAATCGTTTTACAGATTGTATCAGTAGTCTTCTTGTCAATGGTTTTTATTCCTGTATGACTACCCAGTATTACTATGACTAATACCATTAATATTAGTAGGCAGCGAGTGTCTGTGCTTTTGTGTATTCGACATCACATGGTAAAACAACGAGACTTCCCTCATCGGACACAGGTTTGTGAGGTCGAGTACGGTGGTGTGTCCTCCGTCTGGATTAATTTTTTTCCCCAAATATCCGCTGGCTGAGTTTCTTTCCGTAGCTCTCTTTCTCTAATTAAACTACTCCGCAGATAGCGAATTACGCTAATTTGCGTACCAAGTTGGTTTTGACAGGAGACTTGCCTGGAACCCAGTTGAATATCTCGCTTATGATTTTTCAGACTGGTCTAGGTACGGTGCCTGACCTATGACTGTGGCCTTTTCCTGAAGATCCAGCTTCAGTACTGCAATGGCCCTGCGGGCTATAGTGGCTGTTCCCGAAGGTTCAACCATATCAGGAGTACAAACGGTGAGCAGCCCGACGAAGAACAGTTGGTCCCCGTACTGCAAGTGATCGTATTACGAGGCTGTCTGGAGGTGAAGTCGCACTGTCTTCTGCGACAAGAGTGTGGAAGCAGTGAGGCGTTTCCCAGGCGACCAGCATCTACATATCTATCGTAGCAGCAAATCTGCCCTCTCCCGAGGAAAGGCGGATTAGAACAGGTCGACCTTAAAACTGCACAAACCAGTCATCCAACGGTTGATCGTTGGCGCATTATTCAGTAGGGTCAAATACTTTTAAAACAAAAATTTCTGGCGTTGCTCAAAAGGCACCTGCTGTGTGCAGCCGCATTAGGAGTGGGCCAGTTAGGCCTTCGGGTTCATTCTCCCTACGAACTGTCCTAAACCCCCAAGAGGCACAATCACAGTGAAATGGGTTAGAGCAGATTAAAGATGGTAATAGTTAGAATGATATTCATGTTAGGTCGGCGAGCCTCCTTGTGAACTCCCCAGAGGGTGGTCTTTCTTCAAATAAGTTTCGTTCTGAGGTCAGTACAGTTGGCGCAGTTAGTCGAAAGAACCGCACAAAGCCTGAGTTTTGGACGAGCCAGTTAAAAGTGTAAATTAGCACTATTTACAGTCCAGCATGTCAGTGGCTCAGTTATCGAAGACCGACAGCACAACATCAAAGGTTCTCGTAATCCACACGGGTAAACAAACCGGGGATGAATGTTGCTCTGCTTGGTTTTCTGCGTCAATAAACATCATAGATGAGCTTAATTGTGTAGCCGAACAGAGAACCTGGGCACATACACGTCTAGAGTAGGAAGGAAAGTCTTTTCGACGATTAAACTCGTTTGCAAATCAATTTAATTTTCACGGGAGACTCAAGTGAATCCCTAGTTTATGATGATCTTCAACTGAATGTGCTGTACAAAGGCCGCCTCATGTTTCAGTTGGTACGATATTCGAGATAACGTTGTCGAAGAGTTATCAGTAAACTTGTGAGTAGTTTCCTTTATGGAAGTCTTTTTGTCCTTGAATTCCAGTCGCAAGTTGGATTACACCAAATGCGTACGAAGAAGCAGTCAGACAGCAACGAAACACCATCGATGGGCAGGTTGACGGAAAATCATAGTAGACTGTCGGAGAAATGTGTACAAAAGCTTCCATTCGTGACGATATCTGTTCAACTGTCCGCAAAGAAGGTCAAACAAACACCAATCCCTCACCTCCTAGACATGATAGTGCAGAGAGGCAAATCGGAAGACGGGTCAGATCTTCCCAAAGTATAAAATACAAAATAGAAACAAAACAATCAACCATGTTCTCAAATTGGAAATGAATAGGATTTCCAAACTCCCTTATTCGCAATCACACCACATTATTAAAGATAATCATAAAAATGTCCTCGATAGTCCATTCAAACTAATCCAGTTGGATTTATTGCGATTACTGCTTGCTGAATGCATTCATTTCTATGTCTGTCAACGACCTCATACCGAGGGTGGTGCACGAAACAGAGGGGATCGTGCCGAGGCACCTATGATATTCACACCCAGGTTGTTCCAATAATGCCTTAGGTGAGAGCGTTAAAAAGTGAGCGAGAACGATCGTACGCCCGTCTAAATGGAACCTCACAAGTAGATTCGTTATATAACTCAAATAGTTTGTTGTGAAAATATATATGGATGTGGCGAATCTCACTTTTGGGCGTCTCAGCTACATTTGCAGAATAGACAGAAGTACTGATAAGTATGCGAGATCAAACTATGCGATGTAACCATCTGCCGAAGAATCGAATTCAAAGTTCGTGCAGTCAGAGGTTTCAGTGGAAATCCTTCTTCGTGCTCACAACAAAAATCCACTGTCAGTACTGTGTCCTAGTAACACTGCAAATCAGTTAATTAGCCAGTCATCACTGGGGTATGGATAACCAGTGTTTGGGTAATGCACGGGCGCTCGAGTCTTGCTTCACCATTACAGGTTTGTGTAGCCTGAGTTACCTTGTTTGATGAAACAACCATGGTTGAACTCTAGCCATGCACTAAGTCACCCTGAGGTGCGAACTGTTATACTTGTTCATACTCGTTTATAAACCCGTTTGTTGAAAATATGGACCAATAAACCGAGAACCATCGGTTTCCTTTGAATTCGAATAACCATAGTTTGCAAGGTTTAAAAACCTCCCGAAAAACTCTCCACGTGGGAAAAGTTGTTTGGAAGGCTCAAGTCGATACCCAATAAGGTGGCACATGACAGGACCACAATGAGTACACGAATGCCTCTTTAATGCATCACTGTTCGACAAAGTCGATGGCTAATTTGTACCCTACACTGCACTGGTTCAGTGTTTTGCGATTGGTTCACAATAAAAAGATTTGCAGTAATTTGGGTTGGAACGATCGACTGAGGCACATGTTGAAATTCCCTCCAGGCGCGAGGTGTCCCGAGTGACAGCATTGCGGTAAACATTCAGTGAAGAAGCCATGTATAGTAAGGCATTAGACAATGGTTAGAATCACAACGAACTTATCAACTCAACTATATGTGCGAACCAGTGATTGCGTACAGGTTTTGGCAAACGGCGTGCCAAAAATATCTATTCATATCGGTCTACTGAGAAAGAGATTCAATCGTATTTTTCGAGGTAATGTTTGTAAGTAGCTGGCTTAGAATACAATGTGAAGTGAACTACTCAACTGCATGTGATCATTTTGAAGTCAATTTATAATTATATGCGTATTGATTTGCTCATCTGTTTCATGTTTTTTATGAAATACGTTGAGTTCTCAATGTCTCACCCTCTTCAGTCTCATTCATATCTGGAAAAAAAACGGCGAACTAAGTTGTTAAAAGTGAAAACACTCAGGGTGTATCTAGTTACTACGATCTGTAGGCAAAAGTGGGTATCATTGGAGTTGACTTGACTTGACCTGGACCCCAAGAGAAACTACTCTATATGCACAGCGCAATCACTTTAATGAGAAAATGAAACCAGTCTTACACCGTCACCCACCGCACTATCGGATTCCTTAAAACAGATTCTCTCGGGAGAACGAAGCCACCTAACCTAACTAACCACCTCACAATTTTCACAGAGTTTGGATGAAAGACATAATGAACTTCTTGCCGTGCACACGAAAAGTAACCGAAAGATGCCGCCAAGTAGGTTGACTGCATAATTAATTAGGTGATATTTTAGCTGCAACGTAGTGAACGAAACCTAGCTGACCTGCCAAATTTACCAAAGGGAACAAATGTAGTCTAGCCATGTTCCATCTGTTGAGTTTGATTCGACCTGAGCATCATGAACTCCCAGATATGGGAGGACATCTGGATCGGTTCGGCGATTATGCTACGAACCTCGAGTTTGCAAAGGCTCGAAAGCTCCAGCGAAACTTACTGACACGGAAGTTCAAATCCATCCCTGGTCTCCCAACAGCTGCCTAGGCTTCACCAATCTCCTGCTAGTATCAGTAGTACAAAAGGTATGCATTCTGATCCCAGTGGCCACACAGTTACGATGTGTAAGAAAATACTGGTATCATATTGTCCAAGAATAAAAGAGGTATGATAACATCGTCCGAGTAATGAAGCGTCCACGAGGATTGTGCCAAAGCAGAGCAATTGTCATAGACAAGTGATGAACTAGAACTGAATGGTGATGTCTAACAATCATGAAGGCAATTTTAAAACAAACGAACGCGAGCGTCATGCCAGAGAGCGAGAGACTGACTTAGCGCCAGTAGGAGCTACATAGAATGTGATAAACTGGTGCTACGTAAGTGGTGACACCATACCTATAGCGATTCTTTTCATATGCAGGTGAAAATAAATGAATTTCAGTCAAAAGGGGTTACAGACCGTAGAGAGATGGGCGTAGAAAAAACAATTCGTGTTGCCACGTAACGTGAACTACCAAGTACTTGCTTGTCAACATCTTATTGAGCAAACGTTTCAAGCAATCGGCGATCAGTTATGGTCGGAAGAAACTGACGATCAAAAGTCTAGAGACGTCGGATCGTTCAATCATGAAATAAAATCGCCCTCACGGTTAATTTGCCAACACTGCCTTTGGGCTTTGGTGGATTCTTCCGCAGCCCCCCACACTCCCAAAAAAAACATTTTCATCCTAATATCAAGACTCATAAACCATTAAAAGGTGCATTCTACGGTGAGGTCAATTAAACGATTGAATAGGGGTGAATCAATAAACATATAGGAAAACCGGTGATAAGTCCGGTAATTTTAGGCCATCTCGCCGACGCATACAGTAATCACTATTCACAAGAATAGGCAGCCAACTTCCGTTTAAATATTTCAGTGGCGAACTGAAGAGGCCGTTGTCTGGAGTCTAAGGCGCAATGCCGAAATTCCCTTTTGGTGCCACTAAAAGAACGCTGACGAACCGGGTCATCGTGGGGAGAAACGAAAGGCTAAACAAATTCTCAGATGAGAAAATTACCGACAGTATCTGGTAGGAGAAGATGGACTCACCCGTTGGGCCAGACCTCACAGCACCGTCTGGAGCATAATTTTCACGAGGCAAACTAGTCATTGAACCGCTTGGAGGGCGTTGGTTTTGACCTGAAGTAGAGTCCGGGAATTGGATGTGCTCTGTAAATGAGAAAAGTAAGTAGGGTGTAGCCGTGAAAATACTCAAAGATATGCCGTCATAATAGGAATCTTAAGCGGGGAGTAGTCAGGAGAACCAAAGTGATGGCGAGTGAGGTACTTAAGTATCCCTATTATCACCGTGACCGCTACGTTGTGACAGGACGGTTGTGCTGTATCAGAGAACAACTCAAATCCCAGCTATCAAAAGAGTGACCGGATGCCGGGTTTTCACACATTCCACAAAACATGACTATGGAAGATAATCTGGTTAAGTCTGTGTTTGGGTCTACCACTAGTTGGAAATGCAAATGCATTACCGTTTCTACGGAACAAGTCGCCACATGTTCCAACCCCCAACCTGGAGAGCCAGGAGACTGGGTTCGTCAGACCTCTAACCTTGACCAACCTGGTATGAGAGACTCTGTGAGTGTCGCGGGACACTCTCCAGTATAGCTCAATGGATCGCTGAGGTGCGCAAACCGTCACACCACGGTAAGGTCCAGTCTCTTCGTGACCCAATAAGGTGGCACATGAGAGGACCACAATGAGTACACGAATGCCTCTTTAATGCATCACCGTTCAACAAAGTCGATGGCTAATTTGTACCCTACACTGCACTGGTTCAGTGTTTTGCGACTGGTTGACAATAAGAAGATTTGCAGTAATTTGGGTTGGAACGATCGACTGAGGCACATGTTGAAATTCCCTCCAGGCGCGAGGTGTCCCGAGTGACAGCATTGCGGTAAACATTCAGTGAAGAAGCCATGTATAGTAAGGCATTAGACAATGGTTAGAATCACAACGAACTTATCAACTCAACTATATGTGCGAACCAGTGATTGTGTACAGGTTTTGGCAAACGGCGTGCCAAAAATATCTATTCATATCGGTCTACTGAGAAAGAGATTCAATCGTATTTTTCGAGGTAATGTTTGTAAGTAGCTGGCTTAGAATACAATGTGAAGTGAACTACTCAACTGCATGTGATCATTTTGAAGTCAATTTATAATTATATGCGTATTGATTTGCTCATCTGTTTCATGTTTTTTATGAAATACGTTGAGTTCTCAATGTCTCACCCTCTTCATTTCATTCATATCTGGAAAAAAAACGGCGAACTAAGTTGTTAAAAGTGAAAACACTCAGGGTGTATCTAGTTACTACGATCTCAAAAGTGGGTGAAAAAAAACGGCGAACTAAGTTGTTAAAAGTGAAAACACTCAGGGTGTATCTAGTTACTACGATCTGTAGGCAAAAGTGGGTATCATTGGAGTTGACTTGACTTGACCTGGACCCCAAGAGAAACTACTCTATATGCACAGCGCAATCACTTTAATGAGAAAATGAAACCAGTCTTACACCGTCACCCACCGCACTATCGGATTCCTTAAAACAGATTCTCTCGGGAGAACGAAGCCACCTAACCTAACTAACCACCTCACAATTTTCACAGAGTTTGGATGAAAGACATAATGAACTTCTTGCCGTGCACACGAAAAGTAACCGAAAGATGCCGCCAAGTAGGTTGACTGCATAATTAATTAGGTGATATTTTAGCTGCAACGTAGTGAACGAAACCTAGCTGACCTGCCAAATTTACCAAAGGGAACAAATGTAGTCTAGCCATGTTCCATCTGTTGAGTTTGATTCGACCTGAGCATCATGAACTCCCAGATATGGGAGGACATCTGGATCGGTTCGGCGATTATGCTACGAACCTCGAGTTTGCAAAGGCTCGAAAGCTCCAGCGAAACTTACTGACACGGAAGTTCAAATCCATCCCTGGTCTCCCAACAGCTGCCTAGGCTTCACCAATCTCCTGCTAGTATCAGTAGTACAAAAGGTATGCATTCTGATCCCAGTGGCCACACAGTTACGATGTGTAAGAAAATACTGGTATCATATTGTCCAAGAATAAAAGAGGTATGATAACATCGTCCGAGTAATGAAGCGTCCACGAGGATTGTGCCAAAGCAGAGCAATTGTCATAGACAAGTGATGAACTAGAACTGAATGGTGATGTCTAACAATCATGAAGGCAATTTTAAAACAAACGAACGCGAGCGTCATGCCAGAGAGCGAGAGACTGACTTAGCGCCAGTAGGAGCTACATAGAATGTGATAAACTGGTGCTACGTAAGTGGTGACACCATACCTATAGCGATTCTTTTCATATGCAGGTGAAAATAAATGAATTTCAGTCAAAAGGGGTTACAGACCGTAGAGAGATGGGCGTAGAAAAAACAATTCGTGTTGCCACGTAACGTGAACTACCAAGTACTTGCTTGTCAACATCTTATTGAGCAAACGTTTCAAGCAATCGGCGATCAGTTATGGTCGGAAGAAACTGACGATCAAAAGTCTAGAGACGTCGGATCGTTCAATCATGAAATAAAATCGCCCTCACGGTTAATTTGCCAACACTGCCTTTGGGCTTTGGTGGATTCTTCCGCAGCCCCCCACACTCCCAAAAAAAACATTTTCATCCTAATATCAAGACTCATAAACCATTAAAAGGTGCATTCTACGGTGAGGTCAATTAAACGATTGAATAGGGGTGAATCAATAAACATATAGGAAAACCGGTGATAAGTCCGGTAATTTTAGGCCATCTCGCCGACGCATACAGTAATCACTATTCACAAGAATAGGCAGCCAACTTCCGTTTAAATATTTCAGTGGCGAACTGAAGAGGCCGTTGTCTGGAGTCTAAGGCGCAATGCCGAAATTCCCTTTTGGTGCCACTAAAAGAACGCTGACGAACCGGGTCATCGTGGGGAGAAACGAAAGGCTAAACAAATTCTCAGATGAGAAAATTACCGACAGTATCTGGTAGGAGAAGATGGACTCACCCGTTGGGCCAGACCTCACAGCACCGTCTGGAGCATAATTTTCACGAGGCAAACTAGTCATTGAACCGCTTGGAGGGCGTTGGTTTTGACCTGAAGTAGAGTCCGGGAATTGGATGTGCTCTGTAAATGAGAAAAGTAAGTAGGGTGTAGCCGTGAAAATACTCAAAGATATGCCGTCATAATAGGAATCTTAAGCGGGGAGTAGTCAGGAGAACCAAAGTGATGGCGAGTGAGGTACTTAAGTATCCCTATTATCACCGTGACCGCTACGTTGTGACAGGACGGTTGTGCTGTATCAGAGAACAACTCAAATCCCAGCTATCAAAAGAGTGACCGGATGCCGGGTTTTCACACATTCCACAAAACATGACTATGGAAGATAATCTGGTTAAGTCTGTGTTTGGGTCTACCACTAGTTCTCCGATACGGGCGTTAGCGCTGAGGGACGTCAGTGAAGCCGATTCATCATACAAGAATCTGAATCACTAAAACCGTGTGCTATTTCGTCTTTACATTTCCCAGAAAGACGTTCTATTAAAAATTTACAAACGTCCCGATGTGAAATAAATACTTGTCATGGTCTTGAATCCTTGTGGGTTCACGTCCAAGGTGCTTGTCGCTGCACCACTCTCATTAGGCAGTATGACACCACATAGAAGAAGCATCTAGAGCCCTGATGAGATTCCCAAAAAAAAACGAGAACAGTAAACCCACAGTAAAACCTCTGAACAGGAGACGCCAAATATGACAACCCTGACAAAGAGACCTTAACGCCATTCGTTCTAGTTTATGCTCGAAATTCCCGGGAGATTTAGAGACGCTATCAAGAAACTATCTGGTGTACAGTGCTGGCGATTTACTCTGTAACAAGAAATGCTGTCAACCAATAACCTAGAATCATTTACACGAGCCCAAACGCGAGGAAGAACGAACGTAGTCTCAGCAGATGAGAACTTGGCCGTTTCGCTGTCCATTGTTCCATGAATGGTTAAGGGTCACACACAAAAAACGGTAAAAATTATCGCCCGGGCCTCTTCCACCATAAAAAGTGTGTAAGCACAATAGCGCTTGTGAAGGAAACTTATGCCGTTCTTCGTGCGATCGAATCCGGTGGAGTTCCTTTGCTAAGTCTCCCATAAATAAAATGAATCACCTAATCCCCCATGAATGTCCCTCATTTGAATGAGATTTCACCTTGTAGGTCAAGTCAACTGAACCTTAAACTGAAATACTCGGTAGGGTGCACCTGGTGGTGAGACCCTAGCAGCTGAACACCATATCATTCGGCCACAAGGGCCACGTAAGCAATACGATTGGATTACACTTGGAAAAAGTATGGCATCACTATCATTCGATAAGACAGTTCACTTGACGTGCTTCAGTAATAACCGCCTCCATCGAGGTATTACTCGCTAGCCAGTTCTGCGGGGTTCCTTCTTATCCATTTGGAGCCATTCGTCCTCATCAAAAACAGACACCTCCTTTGTTACGAACACCATTAGACAACCATCCCCGTGTGACCCATAGGTATTCAACGTAGACTGTTGACCAAAACGGCTCTTCTTTCGAGTTCCACCACTCTGATATTGAGATCGCTTCTGATTACGTTTGTGTCATCTGACAGAAGTCTTCAACCAGTCGTCCACCATCAGTCTACGATGAACGACGCAGATGAAATATGATAACCCCCCCCCCTTCAGTTTGTCTGGATACCATTCAGCTATGCAAAGTCACCTTACCCGTTGAAAGGCTCAGTCACATAGTGTAGCACGAGCAACTAAAACCAGTACCGGTCCTATGTACTTGTCGTAGAATTAAACCGATCTGTTCTAACCAGGGGCACTGACACAGGGCACCAAAAAGTGGCCCCACCTCCCTAGAAGAAGCCACACTGGCGTTTTCCTTTAGCCACGATCCGGGGTGAACCCACACGGAAGTTACAGTAGGGGACGAAACAGCCCATTCCCCGATAGATGAATGGTAAGTAGACATGATCACAAAATACTCAACTTAGTCATGCGTAGCAGACCGAATTATTTAAGGTTGACAAGTACCCTACCTTCACTGATAAGCAATCCCATTCAATTTCGTTCAATGCCCACCTCCCAATGCCTATTTCATAGTGATAGTCATACGATCTATTGAGTACCAACCACTCAGCTTTTCACCAGTGAGAATCGCCTTTTAGCTTGTTCCACAGCCATCAAGGGAAACCGACTTTCGGGCGAACGATTCTCGTCCACGACCCCTATCCAGTTGCAATCTACTGTACAGCTTGTGATGTTTATGTTCCATCCTAGCTTAAATAAATATGATCCACCAATATCATCCGTGAGACGTTTCGAACTTCAGAGACAAATACCGCTTTACATGAGTTAGTGGGCGAATTTCAGTGAATTATGGTGGCTGCATAGTCGTTTCACGACCACTCCGGTGCACTAATTCCCCGAGAAATTAAAGTATTTCACCTTTTTATAAGGAAAAATATTCATAAAGTTGTCGAAAACACTTGGACGAGAGATTCAGCTTGGATTTATATGAGTCTCCCGTAAAGACCAAATTAGTATGCAGATGAGTCTGCTTGTTAAATGCTTTATTTTGTTTCCCATGGGAATACTCAAAAGAATAGCGTCCCATCTTTTAAAAAAAATGTCTCCACTAAGGCCCGACAACTACTTTACTTTCGGATGGACAGCGATCGACAAGACAGGACGAACGAGCCTCAACGAACGGCATCTAAGGCATAAAACAAAATAGACACTTACCTCTAGATGAAGCCACAGACAGAACGCTGGAAAGCAAAATAATCAAAAGGTGTAAGGCGTGATAATAGACACTTTCGACGTGGAGAAAAAATAGCCAGACGTGTGATAATCTGTTAAGACTTGCTGGATTCACTCGGCGAGTGTGTTACGCGCCTAGTAAGGAAGTGCAAAACTTACTACTGGGCTAAAGAATTTAGAATACTGGCAGTTTCGAAAACGCAGCTAAGCTGGTGGCAGTCACGTGCGATGAATCGGGCGAGGCGATTGTGAGCTTGTGTAGAAAGGAATACAACCAAAGCTGCAGAAAAACAAGTCTGAAGAGGTGAAAACTGCAGCTAATCGATCACACAAGTTGGTGGGAGTGCGTTGGTTAGGTGATTAGGATAAAGGGATAGGTACATACCGGTTTATCTCGCGCACACACTCTAAGGTAAATTCTCAGATGAAAGATTTATTCAAAAGATTTGAACATGAACCGAAGGAAAAAGTTCGAGAACCAGCTGAGAACAAAGCCCAAAAGGACGATCCATTCTGTGGGTAATTACTACACACTGACATGCGTCTTGTCCAGGACAACAGGGATGTAAATGTCTATTACGCCATTTTAGATCACTCAGACCCTATTGGGTCTTAAGGTTAGGATGTAAGTTCTCCAACGGAACTAATACACCTGACCTCTCCAGTACTCCACTGTAGGCCTAGATGATTTTGGGTAAATATAGACTCGCACGTCCAAGGCCCTGAAGGGCTCCTCAGTCAAGTCCGCTCCGAAAGCATAACTCCATCGTTCGCATCCGATCGTTACCTCTTCAACAGAAGCTACACCAAAGAAAAATCCACGACAGCACTTCCCTTTAGCCAGAATTCGGAGGATAATCTGCAGAAAAGACACCAGCCCCAGAAGAGGTCAAATACTTATTTCCTATGGGCGGATAACTGTATATGCCCTCTAATTCAAAAACGGAGAACTGCACTTTTTAACATGTATCGCACAAACCTGAGCATTATGGGGATATGCAACGTGCATAATTTCAATTTGGCTTTAAGAATTTGTTGAAGTCAGCTAGCAAAATGTTTCGGTTAGGTCATGGGACATGGAGGGACTTATGGGTTGAGTTGGTCGAATTCTGTAACCCATCGGTTCTAAGCACAGTACAGCAAGACTTGCATCCCAGCGCCACAGCTAAGTAACAGCATATCTCATAGACATAGCTAAAGATAACCAAGCGAAAACTATTTACTAGGCAAAAATGCCGCCTTCCATTTTCCCATCGTGTAAGGGACTAGATGCCAAGTTATGAAGTGGAACTGATAAATCTCACTGAGCTAAGCTAGCTGGGAGTGAGAGAAACCGTTTCTGGATTGATTTTCACATCTGTCCCAACTCCATGCGTTCCGCACCTACCTTCCATGGGGATCTGGATAGAGCTTGTCCCCACCGGCTTTCTTGGCCACGGCTTGTGTGATGCTGAGGGTGCTTTTGGAAAGTTTGCTCTTCACTTTCCTCATTAGGCCACGTTTCCCTGGAACAAAGGAAGAAGGAGAGATACGGAGTTTAAATACACGTGGGTGTCATTCATGAAGTTGTTAGCCAGATTAGACACACATCATCACGATCCTAACAGAAGAGGTGTAAGCTTGAGGGCTTCGAGCTCAACATCAAATTCTGACAGGAACTGTACGCAAATGTAGGCCCGTTGCTTAGTTACTGCAGTAATTCTTCTTCATAGCACCTCCAAAAAGGATGACTCAAATTCAGTTGCCTTAGAGAGATGTTTGTCATTTATAATAGTGTGAGAAGGGGGTACCCTACAAAGAGGGTCACCAGCAGAAGATTATTACAATCAGCACAGAGACGCCAGTCTAAAACTGGGCCCGAGGTCTTATGATATTACTTCTTCTGACTATCGAGCGAGGTAAACAAACTGGAGCGATAAGGGGTGATTTAATCGGCACTGGAATGAGGCGCGAGAAATTTTGAATAAACATTCCGGCTTGAAGTATATAAACAGTTAAAACACAACACCCATGGAGGCTTTCAACCGTGTGCGTCACGCCATAAATAGACAGATCAGATGCATGAACCATAACCAACTGCAATGCGTGCATACTGCTCTACATGTAGACACTATCTGGGAAATTATCTTGCCTTGTTCAATGAAGTCAAAATGTGTACGAGTATGAGTGTTGTCCGATCAAGAAGTGGAGAGAATTGATCAATAAGTAAATCATTAACACATCCCATTCAGTGTAAGACGAATTTTTAAAAACGTCACTCAACGCAGTTGTTGGATAAACACACGGCTGATAAACAGCAGGCTGAAAGGGTAGGAAACACTGTTGGGGCCACTTAATTGATCCTATTGGAAATTCTGAGCTGCACTCACTGAACATCAACCCTACCAGTCAAAGCCCTAGGTAACGAATATAGTGCTCCAGATCGAGAGTATCACCCACCAGTAACGCTTTCGAATCGAGTAGAACCACAGTTTACTTGTGCTTACTAATGAAACACCCGCTGATTTGCCACTAGGGGTGACAACGCGTTGCGAGTGGAGTGGAAGCGAACAAATCAATAAACCATCATTACAACTTGAGCTACGAATTTCCTCTTCTTCAACTGCTAAGTAAATAAATGCGTTTAGATCACCAGTGTTTGACTAGAGCGACGCTAGAATATGCAGTACTTTGATGGCGACTCAATTGAGAAAGTCTACAAGACGTCAGTTCAAACTAATGTTCTTTGGGGACCTGCAAGAAATAAACCGTTAATCTCCAACGTAGATGTGCGACAATCGACATGGAGTTCGTGTGCATATGTGACTTGGGTCAGTGTCCACAGTAGCACGTCTGATACGGTTCGACCGCTGAACGACGAGAGATCGGACGCGTGAGTCCGACATCTGGCATGCATTGTTTCGTGTACCTGTGTACCTGGGTTTTAACTCAAAACTTTTTTAAAAGACTATCTGTTCTAAGCGCCAGACAGGGATGGCTTTATGAGCATCTAACATACCGCTTATCTCGCTCTATCACAATATGAAAATTAGGAAAGTCCACCTACAGGGGAACCACGCTTATGAGAAACTACCTTTCCAGCATCACATGACATGCAGCTGTGTGCATTCCTAAAAAAGGTACGAATAAATTCATACCTCTTAGAATAGAGGCTTAACAAGTTACTTGTACGTTTAACAAACAAGCCTTATATAACCTTTTCCCACACTGTGTCCTTTAATCTCAAGTATGTAGAACTATTGACACCAATCTACTAGGTTGCGAAACGCAACAGTTGGGGAAAGCAAGTTGGCGAAAGCGGCTCATGCTCTCATTGGTATTGTCGCCGGTTGTACAGCTGGGATAAGTGGTCCCAAAAAAGGAATCCTGGCTCGAAAATAACGTGCACTACACGTAATATTGACAAATCAGGTGACAAGAAGGGCAGGAGAAAGAAACCTGTAGGAAAAAGGCAAAGAGAACAGCAATTCAACGGGAGATAATAGAAGTGATTGATTCACCTACCAGAATATCCGCTCACCGTCGACTCCGCGTATCCTGCCTGGTTGTTTTTTAACTGAAGAGCGGACCGGTAGAGGGGTGGGCGGCCAGGATCGTCCATATCGCTTCCATACTGTTGACTCCCACGCGTTGAACCCTCTTCGTCATAGGATGCTAGCGGGTTATACGACGCAGTACCACCCATGCCTAACGTGGCACCTGGTCGATTGGTCCAAGCGACAGAGGATGGTGCACCTCCACCGGTCATTGGATATCCACCCATGTAACTGGTTTGAGCGGACAAGTTGCTCTCGCTGTAGGCACCGGACACCATTGAGGCGGCTTTGGAGGATCTGCCGTCAGAGGAAAATGTCGAATGCCAATCATCGACACCAGCAGAGAGGCGCGTCCCGCTTGTTCCCTGCCTAGTGGTGATGGTGGTGGCAATGATCGTAGTGGTGTTGGTCGGAGTTCGAAAAGGCTGAATGCTAATGACTTAGAATCGATATTTGCAGACGGGGTTGTCATAGTGACAGTCGCAGTCGGCGACGGCGTGCGTACGGGTAGCTTAACAAACCGTGCGAAAGACTGTGATGAAACGCATGCTGTTCGGTCGGTGGGAACCAGCTATGCATGAATTTCCGATTAGTTGTTTTCATCGTCCTGCCGCTAGGCATGCATAGTATGCTAATCGGTGTAATTTGATCTTTGCCACTGAGGGCGCGCACACCAGAGAGGTAGCAAGCAACAAAAGATAAGACAAAACAATACAGATCGATATGATCTGTTGAGAGGGGTTGGAAACGCTGTATGAAAATGCATTAGACTGTAGAAGAAGCACAGTTGTCGCTATGCGCCGCGACGAAGACTATTCGTTTATCAAAATCGTTACCCGTACCGGATTCCGCAGAAAAGAAACTACAGTAAAATAGAGTGGCAGGTAGGAGTGGGGAGATTTTATGCTCATTGAGTGAATCAGAACTACAGTCCAAGAGCGGATGACAAGGCAAAACGACTCAAGCGCATTGTTAGTCAAACACTTTGCTTGTTTCAAGAAATTCAAACAGACGCGCGTGGGTTCCGAAATTTGTGTTAGCAGAGAGATTATTAGATTAGCTCACGCAAAAAGTCAAACCGATAAAATTGCGTAAGTTGGAGACAATCGTGCAATCGTCTTAACGTGCCTACAACAGCAGAGTGTGAAATCAACGATTATTTCACGGGACGTGTAGGTGCGGGACGAAATGGTATCACTGCAGTGTGAATGTGCTGGTGGCGAATGCGCTCGCTCGCGAAAGTGCAGCGGATTTCAGCGCGCAAATTCCAGCACACGAAATAGGAATAACTCACGATTCTGAGTCAGAGAGTGCAGATGAATCTTGACTTAATCTAGACAGCCTATATTTACTGGATACGAATTGATAAGAAATTCATATCATGAATTAGAGGAGAGTAGAGACAAAGTATCACGCTTGCAGTCGTGAACGCGTTCAGTTGACGGTACAACTGAGATGAAGTCTGTAAATGGCTGTAGAACACAGGTGTGGAACACAATCGGATGCGAAATATTCTAAAAGTCGATTAGCTATGGACAAAACCAGGCGCTGTATACACTAAAGGTTGTCCGCTGACTGAAACTCAAGTGACATCCCAATCACACCAACAGTTTTGACCTTGAACTGGAGGGTAGGATATCGGCTGAAAACTGCTCCTGATATCCCGCCTCGTACATAAAAGCAAACTCTCGCATCAATGGAACTAGACCACACTACAAGACTACCTGAAATGTGAAAGCAGTAAGCGTTTTTCCTCCGGGCCAAATTTTTCATATGAATGGGATCAGCAATACCGTGTTTTCCCGAAGAACGTAAAGCAGTGAAGAAAAACCCTAAAGCTCTCAGTTCTACCCTTCAACCATTTAACCACAATAAAATTTTCAAGACCACTCTGATGTGCTCAGCAGTAGAGTGAGCTGGACTTCCATCCTGGGAGTCACTTCAGTAAAGCCCTGTTCTCTTTTTTCCGGCGTATCCAGCTACATTCTATTAGGCTGTTTACTTAAGGTCGTGTTCTGCCAAATCATCATCATCATCATTACCACTGTCAGCTGTAAGGACCGCGTACTTGTCGTACAGTGGTTGTAGCCGCCACAGTTTCGTTCACCGATGATTTGAGGAGGTAGGGTAGATAGCTGCGCATTGGAGGTGGGAGTTGATAAATTGGTGCGTAAATGCGGTACTGTCAGTGGACTGTCAAGTGGCGGGATTGAGAATGGAGCTATGCATTGAGGGCAATAGCCTGGATGCACGAGCGTCATTGAGGACGCCACTGGGCCATGTCTGACAATGTCTCTAACCATTGATGTGGCCCGTCTCGGAGTCCCCATCCGGGAAGACGGCAATGACCAGCGCAGCTGAGTTTGCTGGTAGTGGCTTTCACAATTCGCTGTCAAGTCATTGTTTGACCGCCTCTAGCTCTCTTCCACCCTCCACTTGGTTGTGCGAAAAGAGCCCTCAGAGGAAGTCGGTCGACTGGCACATGCAGCACGTGGCCAAGCCAGCGTAACCTACGCAGTGTGATCAGTTCATCTATCGAGTTATTTCTTCCGAATACCATTCGACATACTTCAGCATTGCTGATCCGGTGTTCCCATCAGACTCGAGCAATGCTCCGGAGACATCGATGGTCAAACACTGCCAACTACAGAAGAAGCTAATGATTTCTGCCATTTGCTCCAACAAAAATTAGTTCCGAATCAGGAAAAGGTAACTTCCGTCACGCTACGCGATATCGGCTGTCTGAATTTCTAAAAGGATCTCGTACCGTTCAGAGCTGCTTACATCTGAAGCCAGAAACCCTAATAGAACAAGTTCATTCCAGCTCCGGCGTCGAGCAGAACAGATGCTCACTCCGCCAGAAGAATGCGGCACAGTAGTCTACTGGCCACAAGGTCCGTGGTTCGAACCCGACCTCCGCCAATCTAGGCTTGGGCAATCTGGCAATATCCCAGCCTTCGTGCTTCCTTCGGGTAGCACGGTAGTTGGGCACCGGAAGGGTGGTACGGCTGAACGATATCAATGATGCTCGTGCTTTTGGTTTTTTACCAGAAAGACTCTGTGAATGCCGTGATGTGTGAGCATCCTAGAAAGGTAGGCTAGTATTGGGGCCGCTATCCATCAATTTGTTCCATCCCTTATATTTACGGATATTTCTAATACCTCTCAATTGTTGTACGATGCAAAAGCCGAACTACACCGAAGTGGAAATGGAAGCTGATTCATTAGACTTCACCTGATTAACATCGCGAACTCCGGTTTTGATGAAGCGAATTCGATTTCCTGCATGGGAGGCTGAAAATTGGCTGAACGCTCCCGTCTTGAAACCGACTACACATGGTATCACATCAATAAAGGCGTAAAATATACTTTTCAATTCTAGAACTGCGTATAAAAACCATAGAACTGGTTTTGTTTCGGGTTGCCAAAACCAAAAGTAACTGACGTAAAAAAAAGCGCTCAGTGACGAATCTAAGCAGCGGCTTCGACGCATACTTGATTATTGATTAGAAAATATTAAATATCCACACAACTAGTCACGTGATCCATATGATCAGCGACTGTTTCAGTGAGTTCCCTGCAGTGTACGTTGCCATCAGCTGATGTGTGGCATGAGAGCGCAATAAAATGTTTACATGTTACGTGTGAGATCACCAATAATAAGAAACATGTGATGTGCCATGGTACGCCGACGAATATAAAAGACAACTGAAAAAGCAGTCGGTTATTAGCCTCTTCAGGTAGATTTTCTTGTCCTTGTGAAATCTTGGACCCAGAATTGTGTGACAGGGCGTAAGCCATGGGGAAATATCCGGGGTCTACTCCTAAGAACACTGCACTAGGAAAAGTTGGCTTAACCAACCGGGTGCAAATGGATGAACGCGACGGTGCGTCATTCCTCTTAAAGGACTACTGAGCACCACAGGACGAATTCCAGAACTATCCCAAATATTTGGTATGAAGCTCAAATTGAATATCACAGAAATAAAAGAGCACAATCAAAGGAAGTAACAGTAACCAATAAGTTCGAATGCAATGGTCAGTTAAACGTGATGCTCCCTAGTCTTTGGTCGGAACTAAGTCCGATCGCCATCAGAAGTGAGTTTACCGTCACACTGCTCAACCGGGTCAACAACATTTAGTATAGTGGTGCCGAGGAAGAACGGGCTCCACCGCGAGCAGGGAGAACCATTTGCTTCTTTGATTTTCGGCAGGGGAAAGTACTATCCTCCCGCAGTAAAACCAGAATGTCCAGTGTGCTCTTCGCAACTATTAGCTGTTTGGTGGTTCACTCATAACACAACAGACCTTTCTAGGCCATTTCGGCAGGTGAATCGGTAGCTGAACAGCTAAAACCACTCACCCAGGTTTATCTAGCCTAGCCAGTGGTGTATTCATACTAACCATCATTGAACTATTACGCGAAGCGAAGAAAAGTACGGACAAAAGAGCAACACTATCCCGTCACCTTGATTTCGGTCGACCCAAATGGGAAATAGAACCCTTATGAGATTTCGATTTGCTGTCGAGCTTGGTACCAGGCGGCCAGTAGCTAGTCGCCCAAATCCAGTAGACCAAACGACCCCGAGGACACGAATTCTTTTTGGTCGGCTCCAATTCAGAGTAGCGCAATCGTGAAGGGTCAAAATTTGGGGGACCCGTGCGAGGTACCTGAGCCAATGGGATGACAACCTGTCCGATGTGACGGCGTTCGCCGTCCAAGATGAGCATGACAATTGGATCCGTCGGGCTGACCAGGTCTCTGTAAAGGAAAGGTGGTGATGCACGGTACTGACAGATACACCGAAACGTTTAAACTTAAGACTTCAGGAAAAAAGTATACTGACTATTCCTATCTGGTTAGTGTAATCAGAATTAGCATAGATATTGAACGTAACAAGCTGATCAGACAAGTCAAACTGATTCCGAGCACACATGCACAGCTTTGTCTCGAACTACTAGAAAATACGTATCCGAATGTAGTAATTTTCGAGAGTACCAACCGTAATGATGAAAACATTCTGGGCAAACCATTTGGTGGCACCGTCCGTCCTCTAGATAAATGCAGTCAGTTCAGTTTTTCAGCCCATAAACCGTGCACCAAAGTGCAGCGGTTCCAGGTGCTACATCTTCGTTCACCGAGAATAAAGAGGATAAGGGAATGAGAGCTACGCCTAAGAGGAAATGGTCCAATCTGTCTGATCCAATCTGACGATACATGGATCTGTTTGTCCATATGGTAGGAAGTGGGACCATTGCAATGGTCATAGCTTTGAAGCAAGAGCCCAATTGGCTGTGTGACAAAGCCATATCTGTCAGGGCTATTAACCATCGGTGTCTCCACCCGCTATCGAAATCAATCATTCGTCTCCTGATACAAGAAAACCGTGAATTACAAGTGACAGGGCCAAACACGCGCAACAAACTGACATTAAAATGGCCACGCAGTCCTGCTCGAGGACAGCTGATCTTACTTACATATTAAACTCCGTATCCCAGGTGGGACACCCATCTTGAGCGTCCACGACATCCGTAACCATCTTCTTTTTCCCGCCTGCGACAACCACATGCCATCGTCGCGTTTTTGCACCTACCCCGATCGGATAAGATAAAAGAAAAAATGTATTAGTATACAGTACTCCACTGAAAAAGTAACCGTCAATTTGTTAGGTGCTTGTATCAACATGCTTGATGTTGCTAAATGGTGCACGTGCTTTCCTCTTTTGTTCTAATTCAGACGGTCCGACGCAAATGCCAGAGGGGGATTCATCTTGGCAAGCTCAATGAACTAGGAAATGTGCCAAAGCAAGTGCAGTGGATGTAACCTTGCAGACAATCACATGAAAAAGGTTAGGCTACGGCGAATGTAGGCAACGACAGCAATATTGTCGCCGGAAATATGCAGAGAACACAAATAGAACGGAATTGCATTGATTTCTGTATTTGAAGCCTACGTTCTTTCGAAATCGAACACTGTGTCAAACGCGTATATCAAATTTCCCAAGGTTACTTGAACGACGCCACGCAGAACTCAGCTCGAAACCAACGAGGACTCTAGTCCAACCACTCGTTAAGAAAGAGAGGATGAGAAGAGTGAGGAAGTGGAGCACGAGAGTGCATTCACCGTTCTCGAAACCAACACTACCATCGTCCAGAAAAACATGATACGTCACAGCTAGAGTGGTGTAGACTTGAAGAAGTTAACAGTAGCGGGAAAAGATTCTTCTGGAAACGTAAGATAATCAATGGCGACCAAGTGAGGTCGGCTCAATTGGTAGATGTTTTTTGTCTACCTAGGATAAGTCACTTCAGTTGCTTCACACAGTTCACTCCCTACAATCAATATTCCACAGAATGACAGAAGGGAGCCTTTGTGCGCATTAGTGAGAGGTGAGCAGTACATGTGCAAAACCATCTACCAATCAAAAAAAGAAGCTGCAATGAGCAAAGCCGGCAAGGACAGAGCAGCAGTCTAAAGTTCAGGCCATGCCTTGTAGTAGTCGCCGCCGTTTGCTTTTAACGTGTTTGTGGGAAGTTAGGCGAAAAAAGACGGAATGGGTCAAACTCACCAGAGTCCTGATTATTCTTCTCTGATTCTGTAATATTTAGTGAGAGCGATTGCGTGATGACTGTCACAACCGCCGGCAGTTCCGAAAGCCAATGGATGGATTCCAAGTATGGTTGAATCCCAAAACCGAGTTGTTCATGAGCTTCAATTCGGTAGTACAGGCCAGAAAACTCAACCAAGAAACCGAACGGAACTAGTGCACTTATGCACGCCCGTATCCACACCATTCGTTTCAACAGCCTTAACGGTGTCGAGTGGTTCACTCGGTAGGACGAAATCCTTCATTCGCTTATTTTTTCGATTATAAGAGAAACTGAATCACGATTTCCGTACATGTGAGGTAAACGCGCGTCACAGCTGCTACCACCGAATTATCAAACCCGAATACATAAACGCTTTGCCTCCGTGACCTTTCACGCTCACATCCACCACTAAGGTTACAAACCGACAGCAAACCACCGTTGAGAGAAAATGTGGATCACGGCTCCGTTACGACTGCTCGTAATCCTCCAAAGAGTTATTTAGAGGATTTGCTATGAAAGTCCAATCAACTGCTTTCTCGTGTGACAACTGGGGCTGACCAGTACCATCATCAACAATACATCATTAACACTACAGCCTATATAGACTCTGAGTTAAAATCATCATAGGAAAGAAAAAGCTGGATAGGTCTGCGTTCGCAACCTACGGCGAACCACCACCACATCAGAGAGACAGCAACATCAATGGTGACTGTGATGCTTCCGGCCGTTCAACTACAAACGATATTTATTCGTATTTAAGGTCTTAGAGTGAAAAGAAGAGGAGAGAGTGGATGAGGGAGGGGACCCAGTGCTAGCCAATCGCAAGCATCCTGACGTACCCATACTTCCAAGCGCTCAATCAACAATCTGGAAAGAAAGTGACAACACGAACGCCACGTCACCCGCCATTTCTTGCAGTGTCTTCAGCCACTGGAGGGCATATCCAGGAAGACGGGCCACACCAACAACACCCAAACTCTTCGTAGTTCCTTTCACATCCTTCTGCCAAGCTATGCGTTGACAGTTTGCGCAATGCGTATCAAATGGCCCAGGCATCCCGGATCATGGCGCTGGATGTTCTCCGCGACTGAAGTATCTGTTGCACAACCAAACACCTGTCTTCTAATCACCTCTTTACGAATTCGTTGGCGCCATCCGGTACCGCAAACGCCCCTCAGGAATCGGAGGCCATGTCTCGCATCTACACAATAATGAAAACACCTGTCTTCTAATCACCTCTTTACGGATTCGTTGGCACCACCCGGTACCACAAACGCTCCTCAGGCATCGGAGGCCATGTCTCGCATCTACACAACAATAAAGCCCTTACGACCCTTTGAACTCAGCGATATGCCCTTTTGACGCCACAAGTAATGCAAATTAGCAAACGTTATTCGGGTCTTTGAGATTCGTGCACTGACTTCATCAGACACAATTCCGTCAGAGTTAACAACCCGGCATGTAAAATTCCCCACAACTTCCAGTGCTTCTTGAATTGTAAGGGGCACGTTCTGAAGCATGACTTGGCAATTCGAACGCTGAAAGATGGTATGACGGCGGTCAGTTTATTCAACAAAGCTTGCGCTTGGCCTCAGTCTTCAAAAACGAAGACGACGTCCTCTGCGTGATCCATATCGAAAAGGTTTTCACCGGTAGCGGTTTGAACATTAGGATTTTGGGGACCTACCAGCTTTCGCCTAATTAGTTCATCAATGATGAAGTTTAACAAGAACGGATAAAGTGGACATTGTTGTCAGATATTATTTTTGTAGGCAAGCTTTTAGAGGGCATTAGGTAGCTTAAGTGGCTGGTTTCCATCCGAAGGGAACTGAAGTGGTTACAGGCTTATGATGGCGAGAAGTGAATGATACCAACACTCGAATTCGGTGGTCGTGAGTGATTTTTACGGATGGAACAGCTTCCGTACGGCTCGAAGTTAACCGTACACCTACCTCCGTATCTCCAAAGAAAAGTAAAGCAATGCATAGGATATAACCCACACCAGAATCTCAAAAGATACTACAAACTATCACATCAAACTGTTGAGTCAGTGGAACTGACATCGTTAACTAGAAACAACAGTTCGAAGGTAAAATAACTAAAAGGTAAAGGCATAATCGAAACCTAAAGCTGCATGTGGTGATGATGGAATTTCCGTAACGGGCGACATGGCTGTGGTTAGAGACCGAATTTACTGACCGGAAAGTCCGAGGTTCGAATCAGACCTCTGCTTCTCGACTTAAGCCGAACGACTATCTTTTTTATTATCTTTTATTAGCGGACAAATTCGACTGTGAATGACTTATCCCTCCGCAAAAAAGAAAAAACCCATCGACTGGTGATGTATCGAAATATTGGTAGCTCGGGTGCTTTTATTGGTCGTCGATCAGATGACGTCATCACTGCGAACTGATGATGTCTACTCGTTTGGTGACGAGACATTTCCAAGTTAATTACCAAGCTCGGCGAACAGATCCCCAGCTACCTGATCAACAACTAATAAACCATCAATTAACTTCCCATCAAACCCTTGAGGGCCCAATGGCACCATTGGTAGTGAACTGGACAGAGTAACGCACAATCACCTTTGTTCATCCAAATATTTTCTCCGTATTTGATTTAAACTGTGCACCTGAGCAACTGAATATTCACATGAAAAACACTCGTTTTTTTAAGGACGGCAGCACTGGACTAGGGAGCCAGACTGAAAATGGGTGTGTCAAGGTATTATCATTCGTAAATGACAGCTCAAAAATGTCAAAATCAGTAAACCTAGCTATGTATTTGGAATGGGTTCCAAAAGTTAACTGATGGGTGCTGAGTGCCAAGTTGCCAGTTAACCTGCAAATCAGAACTTACTTGGGAAAATAAGAAACACGAATGAGAACGCAAAACCCAAGCAAACGAACTGACATCCATTGGAGAACTATACTCCTCTACCAATTAAGTTGGTGTTGGCAGGAAAGTCAACTGTTTCCCAATTGAATCTCCTTCTCATGGTATTCTTCAGTGAAATGCACTACACAAGGGCTGCCACGTGTTTCAGTTGATACGATATTCGATGTTACAGCACAATTCGCTCACTGCGTACAACTTGGTGCACAAATAGAAACCAAAACTGACGGAAATGTGGGGCTGCGACTACCTGAGGGGCGACAGGACAGGCGAAATCGGTAACCTTATAATATGGGGGAGAGATGGCCCAAGTAGTTACAGCGCGAATTTACTGACCGAAAGGTTCGTGGTTCGAATCCGACCTCTCGACTTCTCCCGTGTAGGTTTGAGCAACCTGCAGCATCCCAGTATTCTTCAGTGAAATGCACTACACAAGGGCTGCCACGTGTTTCAGTTGATACGATATTCGATGTTACAGCACAATTCGCTCACTGCGTACAACTTGGTGCACAAATAGAAACCAAAACTGACGGAAATGTGGGGCTGCGACTACCTGAGGGGCGACAGGACAGGCGAAATCGGTAACCTTATAATATGGGGGAGAGATGGACCAAGTAGTTACAGCGCGAATTTACTGACCGAAAGGTTCGTGGTTCGAATCCGACCTCTCGACTTCTCCCGTGTAGGTTTGAGCAACCTGGCAGCATCCCAGCCCTCGTGCTTCCTTCGGGTAACATGGAAGCTAGGAACCGAAGGGTGTTACAGTTGAACGTCATCTCATTTTTTATTTTTCAAAGTTGATATCCACTTAAAAAGCGGATCACTCTAAATCCATCCAGCGGGAGAAGTTGTGATCACCAGACTGTCTTACCGAAACGGAAGCCTAATCGGCATCTATGCGGGTGGAATCACAATTAACGAGTTAAGGTAAAACGTAGCGAATACAATTAGATGGTACATGAACAGTCACTTACTCTTCTTGCTACCTGGCATGGAGTATTCCAAGTTTTCAGCACATTTGACTGAAACGTGAAAATAAAGTTATTGACTAATAAGAACCAGAATCAAACTCAATAGAACTTCATGAATTCTAAAGATCACAACCACCACGTAAAAATTCAGGCTTACGCGCTATACCCGAAACAGTAAGACATGAAAGACGGCTAATCGCATAGACAATCCTACGAGATTCATTAAGCGATATTCAAGGTAGGATTTGAGCTGCTTTACATTTCACTCTTGGAACTGGGTCATAATTACATGCGCTCAAACGCGCATCGGCGATGTTTCATCGACTGAGGACGAAATGTCTGCACGCCTATTGCCCAGCTCGGCGAACAGACAAACGGCCATCTGATCAACAGCCAGTAAACAGTACAGTGACAGTGTCGGTGGCTAGCAAAAACCCGATAAGTATTCATGTTGAAAAAAACATTAATCTGGTGAAAATCGGCTGATTGTTCGACCGCATTACTTAGTGTAAACAAAACAAAATCCCTCGAAATTCATGCCCTCTGCGAGAAACTGTCGGGTCGAGCACGAGCCATAGGTCTGTCCTCAGTAGCCGGTGTCTCAACCAATGAAACATCGCGAACTACTTGACCATCTTTGTGGGTACAAATAACCAGATCAGATGGCCTACTTGCATCTTTCTTCCTGCGCTAAAGTATTGCGCAGGAAGAAAATCCGACTCGTACACTAAATAGATGATGGGGTCGAAACTGGTGCCCTATCCTTAGGTTAATTTCAGTGGGACCAGGATATTCCACAAGCCGAACATCTGTTTCACCAAAGATATTTGACAATCAGACCCTCTCCCACAGTAGAGTGATGATGGCAAGTGGCCACTCAGAAGTGGACTTGCCCATGTTTTCCCAATTGATTATGATACACAGTAAATAGACGACTCCGGAAGTCGATATGGAAAGTTCAACATACAGAGTTAAGGTGACATGAAAAACCCTATCAAATAGTTGGGACGATATGTTTGTCAGAAATAGGATGGAAAATTTTTTCATATGAGAAATTTCAACCTAAAATGACCAGGAGATTGTACACGACACAAGTCGTGTGAATATGACTGTTCCAAGGACCTGCAGTGGAAAATACTGCAAAGATACTACCACAATAACAAAGCAATACCTCAGACATTGTATACTTTCGACTCCAGCCTTTCAGGTAAATCATCCGACGCTACAGGAGCTGAGATACCGTCACCCTGACAAGGCCAAGACAAGACCGTGCAGTCAGAGGCGGAATTACACCCAATGACTTTTAGAATATATTTCAGCCCTCGTGGTACCTGGGTCTTCTACATCACATCACTCAGTGGTGAAATACATGATAATCAAAAGCCACAATGCTCCTGATGTGTGAGATGCCTCAGTGGTTAGAGCACAAATTTACCGACCCGAAGGTTCGTGGTTTGAACCCGACCTCTGCCACTCGAGTTCTCCTTCTAGGCTTGGGCAACCAGGCAGTATCCCAGTCCATGTGTGTGGCATGGCAGTTAGGCACCGGAAGAGTGTCATAGCTGAGTGAGTATTATTTTTTTAACGATATGCCCCGGTCTGGGCGGTGAAAAACTTGGCCAGCGGTGGATATATCTACAGTGCGCGCATTAACACGTTAGCTTTTCGAACCTCAAGACGAACGCATCCGGCACACGGACACAATGGGTTCGAACAGGGCCGAGATCAAATAGAAAAAGCGAGTGCTTACCTACTATAGTCACAGATTTGGGAATATCCATCCCTCCCAACATGGTCCCAGAAACTCACAACCGACTGAGATTCTGCAGCACAAAAAAACGATAAGGGAGTAAGTAACGACTGTTGGATCTGCTCCTCGCTGGTCACCAGCGTATGACTAAAGAAGAATAATTAGGCTTGATTGTTTTAGAAAGACTGGAATTTAAATGGCTGACGGATCAGACAAGATTGAGGGGAATTCTGATCGACACCTGGTATGGCAACAAACGTTGGGGGGATAAGTAGAAAGTTCTCCAGTGAATGTGGTAATTGCATCCAGCCTAGATCAAACAACGATGACCTAGGCAGGAAAAATTATGAATTCACACTTCTGACAGGTCTGTCCACGCAAACGGAGGATAGAAGGGCTCCAGTGACACTGGCAACAAATACTATGCAGTGAAATGTTCCAACTGAAGCCAAATTTGTGTCACCGTAACTGCAAAAGTCGCATCCGAAAACCCCCAATGGATCCGTTTTAGTTCTGTCCAATTAGGGGGTCACCATCGAAAGGTACCTTATTGCTGGAAGACAGGCGAGATAACTCCTATTCACAGAAAATGGATCTTGAAATACCCAGCGGTTATCCGCATGTCTGCACTCTCATTGAAGATAAATCCCTAACATTTGGGTGAAGATACTAGTTTGCTCAACAAGAATCACGCTCTACAATACTTTTTGCATTCAGTTTCTCCGGAAATTGACAGAAAGACCAGAAACGTGTGTTCAATATTCCCGGATCATAAGAATGTTACTGGTATCGTCCTCCTGAACGGATACAACGGGTAATGATTGATCCGGTTATGAGTAACCACCTTGAGGCGAAGTATAACAGCCAGTACCAAACTCAGCTGCGCTGGTCATTGCCGTCTTTCTGGATGGTGACCCCTAGACGGGCCACATCAATGGCTAGAAACATTGTCAGACATGGCCCAGTCGAGTCCTCAATGGCGCTCGTGCACCCAAGCTATTGCCTTCAATGCATAGCTCCCTTCCCAATGCCCCCTAGACAGTTCTGCATTGACAGTGCTGCATTTACACACCAATTTACCAGCTCCCGCTCCAATGCGGGAACGAAACTGTGGCAGCTACAACCAGTGTACGGCAAGTACGCGCGCGGTTCTTACAGTGACTGATGATGATGATGATGATGATGATGATGATGACTTTCCAAATACACAAGGGTACACACAGGTAACAAAAAGTCCCAATCACTAAAACCAGTCGTCTGACGAGCCATTCGTTCCTCGTTACCGATGCAAACAGAATGGACCTTATCTTGCTGTGGTTTGTGTAAACCTATGACCCACTGAGCCACACTGTAAGGTCAATGGGTATAACAGCATCCTAACCCTCCAGGTTAGGAGATGGAGTACGTACGGCGACTCCTTCCTTAAAAAAATATGCACTAATGTTGTAGTGTAACGGCACCCACCCAATATCTTTCGGTCAGGCTGACGAGCCCGGTTGAGGACCCTAATCTTTTTGTCCATGTATGGGCACCCCGACAGTATCCCAGCAATTGTATCATCATGAAAGTTACAACTAAAAATATTATCAAAGCAAATCGGCTGTTGCGTGTTGCCGCCAGCAAGGTCGCCTTAGTCGGTGGATACAGCAGGACTGGTAATTGGAAACATGCTACTGCTGTTATCTTCCTTTTTACACTTTCACGTATAATCACTTCTTACCCACCCCAATTCAAGTTGGATACTTTCTATACGGGTGCCAGCACTAGGATAACCGTTTTGGTTGCCCTATATCCCGCTTCTGTGAGTTCAACTTCACTGATATCCATAACCATCTCGAAGTCTACTTTCAAACGCCGCAGGTCAGTCTACTTAGCTGCATTTAATGTTCGCATACTGAAGCAAGCAGAACATAAGCAGCTGTCTACTTTCAAACGCCGCAGGTCAGTCTACTTAGCTGCATTTAATGTTCGCATACTGAAGCAAGCAGAACAATAAGCAGCTCCTGTTTGTACGCTGGATCCTCTATGCATGAATTTGTGCTGTCAGAAAAATGAATCCAGACGCAAGTACTAAAACGGAAATGAATTCCCCCCACTATCTTCACGCTTCCTACTCTGCACCTCTGGTGAGGCGGACGCCGCTGTAGCTGGATATGTTGGGGTGGGTGTGGCGTTGAGCCTTCGAGCGTACCAGCTGATGGGCAGTTCTATGCGGCCCTGGCAGAAACATCAAGAGAATGACGTCATGGTGGCTGCTTGCGCGCCCGACGGACTGTAGCTCTGAATTTGCCAAAAACAGTCTCCACGATGTTCCAGATGTTCTTTCACAATGGGCTAAAAGCTAAAGCATAGTGACTAAGCGCCCACCCGGGCGGTCATTTTGCTTCGAACACGAGACGCACGGAAAACGGAGAGCGCTTGGAGCAAGTGTGCAAATCAGACTGTTCCGCTGCAGCACGAATTTTCGGGACAGTGGAATCTCTTGACTACACGGCACTCGTCAAGAACCAGCCCAGAATTCAAATAGACCACGCTGCTACCAGCCGGTGGTAGCAAATGTCGATTTGTGTATGCTGATCCTTCTGAAATACCTTCGTGGATTTCAACCATGACCCTGTCCAATGTTGCAGTTCATTGCGCTCTTCAAATCCATGCAGGTTGTGTGCATCCCGCTTTCCCATTGAGAAGCCTGTGGACCAATAAATCGAACAAGCCTACCGAAACCTGCTCCTCCGACGCCTATCGGTCGGTCCCATCTAGGATTTTGACAATCACTAGAGACAGATACCCCCAAACGCTCCTAAATGCTGAAACTTCTGTCTGTGGTACAACCCCCCCCCCACCTTCTTCAAGCACTCGATCATTGATAAGACCTTGACTCTACTCGGGGCCCGGCGACAGATCTCTCCTGTTTGCCAGCACAACTCAAATAGCCATATCATCCAGCGTCAGGTGAAGCTGAGTGACCGTGTGCACCAGGAAGCTTGGTGGGTTCGAAAGGCCGTTTAAACAAAAGATGCGAAAAATCCTGGAAACGTCTGCAGGTTTTGCCAATTTATTGGTTCGACTGGTCTTCGGAAGTCACTCCACAGCGAAACCATCGGGACCAAAATGGCTGTCTGACATCCGGCAAAGTGTTTGGACCGTTGGTAACAAAAATTCTAACATCCAATCTGCACTGGCAAACTCTAACAAAAACGTGGATTGCGAATGTGGAGCTCTCTTCAGCCTCAGAAGTGTCCGACAGCATTCAACCTCTAAGATAAAGACGTTGTCCCAGACAACTAAGGTAATTCGGTGACAGTACCCATCTTCAAAGAGGGCGCTTGCAAGGTATATAGTAACCACAGGGGCACCAATTTGACTACCGCTGTAACAAGGCAGGCGGAATCAGTGATTCTTCATGGTCTTGCAGTGGCACGTGAATCCCTGACCCGTGTGCAATATCTCCGAAACCGACAGGATACAGCGTCTTGTACCAAGGCGTGACAACGATCGTTCTAGTAAAAATACTAACAACAATAGTACTGATCACGATAACCGTTCACCTGTGGAAATCCTTACATGTACAGATGCTGTACGACTCGGAGGTGCGAGGGCTTAGATACTTCCAGGTTGTCCAGAGTTCTGAGATCCAGGATTAGTGCGTGCCCTTGTACATCACATGTTGAGTTTCCAAAGTGGAGTATAGCGTCTGTCGTCTCCATTTAGTTACGGATGTGGTTTTCTGGCAAGATAGCTCTGGAAGCACCAAACGTTTTGGTAAATGAGGAATTTTCCCCCCGATTTCATGGTGTAGAAAATCTACACCGGAATACGGCACGATGTGAATCATCGTGCACCACAGGATGAAGGCAGTCGAATACTGAGCTTCTCCTCTCGGCAGTTAACGACCACAGGAGCAGTCTGAGTCCGCAAATATAGAGTACTTGTATCAGGTGAATGACATCGTTTTGTTACTCATCGAAAACCACACAATCTACTTTAAATAGGATGCCGGAAGTGGGTCATTGGTCGCATGCTTTTGTACCTTCGAGATTCAAAGTCTTGCTCCAGAATCTTCAGTCTCCATGCGCTCCTTTGAGATTCAAAGGTGAACAGCACGTGATTGTTCGTCAGTTTAAGTATCTTGGCAGCTACATGAGCCACAATCGTGCGGCGATAGGTGATGTCGTTCGGATTAGAGTGGCTGGCCACTTGGTATTGGACCAGAATCACTAGTGTAGTCAATAATATCTCTTAGGCTAAGGTGGTCACGATGAATATCATTATTACCACAACTTTTTGGTTTTTCATGTCTGTGACCTATGAGGAGTTCATGAAAGGTTCAGTAGGATTTCAACAAATAGAACCTTAATTTGGTTCATATGCGCGGAAACTGCGGTTTTAAGTATTTGTTCCAGCCGCACCCCGCCTTTACCTAAGGTGTAACGTTTTCTAAAAAATGTAAGCCCTGGAAACTTACGCGGTCTCTACACGCATATAATGAGTTTTTGACACAAATCGGTGATACCTAAAATGCCACTCAGCGACTACGTATAACCATACAGTCGAAAATGAGGTATTTATCGTGCAGTTCCACTCTGTACAGGAAGAACTAACGAGAAATTGTTTACGAGGTTGTGGTAATAGTGTGAACACAGCTGGTACCCCTTCCATGGTGCCCAGGACAGCCTTTAAGAGTTTAGGGTTGGTTTTCGTGTGAGTAACCCGGTGGAATGCATTTGTCTCTTGCGATGGGGACATGGCAATCGGATCTCTACCGGCAATGAGTATTCCTTGAATGCAGCGGCGTAGGTTCTCAAGGTCATTCACGGATTCACGGATTGATACACAGGATCGAGGCTTTTGCCCAAGTTTCCCGGGTCGGTTTTGTTCTTGTCGGTCAGTGGCTGTCGTTCACCTGAAAGGCACAAGTGAAAAAAGGGTGTAGCACTGCTCTTTATGTTCTCAGCGCGGGGCAGTATGC